TTCTGCTGCAGTTCTGGAATTATGTTCTGCAGGTTTGGAATTTTATGCACTTTGAATGTTCTGTTCTCAAGTTCTGATTAAGTTCTGGTGTAGTTCTTTAAGATTAAGAGACCCTTATTAGTCCCACAACGGGGAAACCTCCGCAATTTCACCCATCCATGCAGTGAAACACCACATACATACTAGTAAAGACACACACACACACTATCGGCAGTGAGCACACTTGCCAGGAGTGGTGGGCAGCCCTATCCGCAGCTCCTGGGGAGCAGTTAGGGGATAGGTGCCTTTCTCAAGGGCACTTCGGTAACGTACTGTCGGCTCAGGGGATCGAACCGGCGACCTTCCGGTCACAGGGCTGGTTCTCTAACCTCCAGCCCACAACTGAGTTCTTACTCAATTCCAGAATCCTGTGATTAAATTTTAAAACAGATGCAGAGTTTTGTTCTGGAGTTCTGAAGCAGTTCTGGAATTTTCTTTTTGAAGTTCTGGAATTCTGATTCAGTTGATGTTTCTGCTGCATCTCTATTTCTATTTCATTCTCTAGTTCTTGGGTTCTTCTGCAGTGTTCTTGGATTATACCATAGTTATATCAGTTTTGGAGTTTTATGCACTGATGCTCTGTTGTGGAGTTCTAATGCAATTACAAAGTTCTGTTCTGGAATTCTGAGGCAGCTTTGGAATTCTGATGCAGTAGAGCTGGAATTGTGCTTTTGTGTTTTGGTTGGCCATTGGGGCTGCTGCCCCATTCTTGATTGTATTGTCTATCAGTAACAGGGCAGAGGTGAAGCTGAAGGTCAGTGGGGTAAGATGGGGTGGGGTGAGGGTGCAGCTGAAGCAGGGATTGTCATTTCTGGATCAGCCCTAAAGTCTGAAGGAGGCAGAGCGGAGAGAGAGAGGGACTGAGAAAGATGAAAGAGGAAAAGACAAAGCAAAAAAAAGCAGGAAAAAGAGTGAGACAGATAAAGGGAAGAGAGACCAAGTTGAAAAAAGGAAGAGACAGAGATGGAGAGAGAGAAGTTCAGAAAGAAAGATGAAAGAGAAAAGTTAGGCAAGGGGAGAGAGAGAGAAAGAGAGAGAGAGAAAGGTGGGCGTTTTCTCCATGATAAGCTGCAGTACGTAGCATGTATTACAGTGTCTCTAATAGAGCCCAGCGCTGAGGGCAGAAGGCATTAAACTCTCTCTCACTGCAGGCCTGATCATTCGTCTCTGTTGTCAGCTTTATGGGTTCAGGTGGCTAACACATACTTCACTTACACCTGCTCAACCTAAACTAGTTTAGATCTTAGATCTCAACACCAAACACCAGTTTGTCAAACTCAGGACTTGGGTTTGTCCAAAATTTTAGAGTAAGGCTAACTGTGTTAATACTGTAATATTGAAAAACTTTATATACAAGTATTGAGCATTTTATATTAGATTGAGTTTAGTTGTCCAGTTCCTTACAATACCCTGAAATTGGTGGGATAAAAACTGTTATGCATGAGTAACAACAGCTGTGATTCCTACATGGTTCACCAAATACAGCTGCCAACACTTCAATGTCATTCAGTTATTCAGAGGTTTCATTTGAAATCCAACTTAAGTAGCCAAAATGAAATTGTTTGGATGTTGTACGCAATGTTGCTGTCATATCAAAATCTTGTAACCTTTCTTTTTACGTTGTGCTAACATTGCATGAGAAATGGACCAATAGAAATAACCCCATATTAACTGGAATAGAATCTGGGGTCTCATTTTATTTGGATAGCCCCCTACAGATGCTCAGATTATTGGTGATCCTACATGGTGATTCTCATCAGGGTTACGGTTAGGATTAGTGCCTAGGTTAGGTTTAGGACCAGAGCATTAGGATTAGGTTTCAGTCAGTATGAAGGTTAGGGATAGACTTAAAAGAACTTGGTGTATGTGTTTCTCATGCTCAGCAATGCTCATAGCTGCATGCTAAATGGAGCTAAATGGCTAAAAACAAAAATTAAACTTGTTTTTAACCATTTATGTTGGGCTTTCCTTTAATTTTGGAGAGTAGAAGGATGCATTCTATTAAAAAATCTAAGAAAACTTAACAGTATCTTTCTGTTTTTCTACAGCAAGCAAGCTTTGGGTGGTAGGACGCTAGCATTACTGCTACTGAGTGTTGATTGGTTGGCGAGCTGATCAGCTTATTGGCTGAGTGAAGCGATTCACTCTCACTGACGTCATAAACATCGGACACTGTTAGAAATTCCTATAAATGGAGTTCAAACGCACCCAGAAAACAGTGTTTAAATATTTTATGCTGCTCTGTGTTTAGAGACTTTTCCTGTTTCTTTATAAAAAAGGATTAAGCATTTACCAACTATGATTTTTGCATAGAAGCTCCATAGCACCCCATTTGTTGTTTGGACTCACTAGGGAACACCCTCTAGTGTTTGAGGAACCCAAAAGACATTATTAAGTGTCTGTTCTCACTATACATTCTCTGACCATGTGGACCAATCACAGTCAGGGGGAGGTCTCAGAACAGATGACATGATTAGGAGTTCTCTTTAGCAGCCAGTGCACACCACACCATAACTGAAACCATTTAGTTGTTTTGCTTTGAAATGTCTATTTTATTTGCAATGTACCTTCAGCTTTAGGTTCAAGGTTAAAGGTTACATTAGGATACATTTAAGACAAGATGCTTCTACAAAGCATTGCGAGTTCTGATGTAGTTCTGGTGCCATTTCAGCATCCTGTTATGGAGTTTTAATGCAGGGTTGGAGTTCTGTTGGAGGTCTGATGCAGTTCTGGAGGGATTCTGATGATTTCTTGAAATCTGGATGCCATTCTGGAAGTAAATTCTGGACTTTTGAAGTGGTTTTGAAGTTCTGATGCCATCCTGGGAATCCTGTTATGGAGATTTAATGCAGTTAAGGAGTTATTCTGGAGGTCCAATGCAGTTCTGGAGCTCTGATGATGATCTTTGATTGTTTTATGGAATTCAAATGTGGCAGCATCTATAATAGTCTATCTGTGTTAACTTATTTTCACCTAGAAAATCAACAAAACATGGAAATTGACCAGGGGTGTTCAAACTTTTCTATACAGCTGTACATTGCTTTCTTATAATTATTTTTAAGTCTCACGGTTGTCTTACAACATCAAAACATGACATTTCTTATCGTCATTCAGTCCCCACAAAGACAGGAATACATCATACACTCTCTCACATACACAAAAAGGAAGCCTCCTCCTGAGCCTCAGAGGCCTTTGTCCTCCCGCCCCTGTGCGGAGGTTTCAGTGCATCTCATCATCTCTCCCTCATGTTCAGCTGAACCTCAGGGCGCTGCTGTCTCACACACTTCAGAGAAACACTTCACTTCTCAATGGAGCTAACAACAAGAAACTCATACAGAGGAGGATGCTCAGTGAGTGGGGCTGTGTCCCCATTTATGCACATAGTGCCCTACTATGGGAGTGTTGGATGCAGTAAATAGGGCATGTTCTATCCTGCGCACCGTGATGCTTTGAGTAACTTATGGACAGAACCTCCGAACACAATAGAAATGTGGGAATAAATAAAAATGTAAAGCCACGTTCACACGCTGCTGTGTCTGATCAACTCGTACCAGCACAACACACACTAACACACCACCACCACATCAGTGTCACTTCAGTGCTGTGAATGATCTACCACCTAAATAATACCTGCTCTGTGGTGGACATGTGGGGCTCCTGACCACTGAATAACAGAGTAAAAGGCAATAAATATATATGCAGAGAAACAGATGGACTACAGTCTGTAACCATAGAGCTACAAGTGTTCTTGTATGGTAAGTGCAGCTGATAAAATGGACAAAGAGTGTAGATACAAGCCTGTGTAATTAATGAAGTGGCCGGTTGGAGTATATTATATAGTATTTTGAAGTCTGGGTTTCTTGTATAACCATCATGGGGCTATTTCTGTTCACAATTAAGGGCTTGTTGAATATCAGGTTTATTTTCTAAACTATACAAACTAGACATTGAACATAAGATCGGTTATACTTGCAGATTTATCTGGCACAGAGGCTCATAAGGGGAGGTGTGCAAAAGGCTGTTCCATAAAAAATGTGTTCCCTTCCCCCTCTTCCCTCTCATAGCTAATGTATTCTGTCATAAAGGGAGCACAAGAACATCTTCTTTAACTCTTACATGCCTACGCCCAGTCTCTAGTGACCTGTGACCTCATTTCATCCCTTGTACCTCATCCATTTTGTTCAGATATCTGTCTTACAGAATATAGTAATGTTGTGTTACTGTCGATATATTTTGACAGTTTTACACTATCAACACAATGGTCTACATTTGATCTGAGTTAGTTACTGTGGATCACTGTAAACAGTAACTGTAACTCAGAAATTGTTGGCATTTTTGCTGTTCACAGTCCAAGTAATCAGACGCATTCAATGATGTTGAGATCTGGACTCTGGGGAGGTCAGTCCATTGTCCAGTAGCTTCTGTGTTTGATTTGCAACTTTTCTTTTTTGTCTTATTTCCTTTTCTCAGTAAGGGTTTCTTAATAGCTGCACATCCTTTCAAACCCATAGCATTGTCTTCTCACAGTGGAAGGATAGAGTGTCTGTGTGTGTGTGTCTGTGTGTGTGTCTGTGTGTATGTGTTTCAGATCTGAAGTAAGAGTGGAGCTTGATTTTCTCCACTCTTTCAAAGATGAAAGATGCTTTAAGTGCTGTTTATCTGATGGGGACATCGTTGGTGGTCTACCAGGTCTTGCACGGTTGTTAGGAGTCCCATTTTCTCTGTAGCTTTTAAATAATTTTTGAACACCTGTTTTGGAAACTCCAGCTTTTGTGCTTATTTTGCTTTGACTTTCCTCCTCCTTATGCAAGTGAATTATTTTGTATTGAATGTTCTCAGAAGCATCTCCTGAAAAAGGAGCTTAATTGTGGTTTTGACTGGAAAATGAATAAATAAATGACTTTTCTGACTTTTTTATATCAATCTCCTCTCTCTCCCTCCCTCCCTCTCTCTTTCTGCAGTAACAGGTTTTCCCTATCCCCCAGCTGGAGCTGCAGTAGCGTATAGAGGCGCTCAGCTCAGAGGGAGAGGACGAGCTGTTTACAACACCTTCCGCACAGCAGCGCCACCACCACCCATACCAGCCTACGGAGCGTGAGTGTTTCACAAATACACATGGGCAAAAATATTAGAGACAGAAAGAAACAAAAGAAAGATAGAGGACAGTGAGAGAAAGAGAGAGAGAGATAAGGATGAGAGTTGGAGGAATATAGAGCGGAGAGCACATAGGGGAGTAAAAAAAGAGTGAGAGAGACTCAAGTGTGCACTGTGCTCTATATTCCATGTTGTAATCATGACACAGATGAATAAACTAGCCCTAGTTTACACATTAGAGCCAACTTGCATAATATAGGAGCTATACTGTCTCTTACACACACACATAAACACACACACACACACACAGGTGCGCACCCCATCCATCTCTGTAAATCTCAGCGCTCCTCCTCTGCACCAAAGTGATTTGTCTTCACGTCACATGAGCGCATGACTGCAACCAAAACTCCTCCACTTTCTCATCCATCCATCCTCTCTTCCTTTCTTTCTCCATCCCTCCTCTCGTTTTACTAGAGTCAGTACACTTCTTTTACTTCTTTTCTCCCTCCGTAACTAAATGTAAATGTACAGTCTTCTCCCGACAATGTATAGCATGAAGAAAAAAGGAAAAAATCATGACAGAGGTTTTTAATGTATTTGGATCAAACAGAATCAGAATCTCTCTCTCTCCCTGTCAGTTCAGTTCAGCAGTGCTCGCATCTTATATTAATGCTGAAACAATTAGCAGTAAACTTAAATAGGGAAAAGAAATGTCAATTGAAAACAGGTTATGAAGAACATTATTCTCTCTCCCTCTCCTTCTTCTCCCTCCCTCTTATAGATATATATATATCCCTGTGTGTACAAACTGAACAATCCTATATATATTTTTTTCTCCCTTTTCCGTTTCTTACTCACTTCTCCCTCTCGATTCAGTTCAGTTTAGTTCAATTTAGTTCAATTTAGTTCAATTCAGTTTAATTCAGTGTAGCTCAAATGGCAAGTACAACGTTGTTAAAGCACTGAAGTTTGTCACTGAGCATACTTAGTCACAGTAATATAATAATCTCTCTCGTTCTTTCTCCCTCCTCACAGAGTGGTCTATCAGGATGGTTTCTACGGCGCTGAGATCTAC